CCTCCTCCCGAGCTCACCAGCGCGCCGCCGCCTCCTCATGCCTGGGCTCCTCCTCCCAGCCGCCTCCGCCCGAGGGTCTCGTCGACCCCGCCCCCAGCCATCGCCGGCAAGCAGCAGCAGCCACGAGGATCGCTCGCGCCTCCTCCCGAACTCCCTAGCTCGCTCACCAGCGCGACGCCATCTCCTCGTGCCCGGGCTCCTCCTCCCAGCCTCCTCCGCCCGGGGGTCTTGTCGACCCCGCCCCATGCACCTCGCCGAAGCAGCCATCGCTGGCGACCAGGTCCCCTAGCCGCCTCCCTGTTTCCTCCCTCTCTGTCGTATGAACAGAGGACTAGCGCCACCCCTCCTGCCCTCCGCCGCAAGAGTCGCCATCCAGATCCGTCTATTCCTGCGCCCTTCGTCGCTCCCTGTCGCCGGAGTTACGCCAAGTCCCGCTGCCTCCCCTGCGTCGGCTGCAAAGCAGGCAAGGTGAGCGGGAGGCCGGGGCGGGGCGGCGGTTACAGGAGGCGGAGGAGCTCGGGCTCGAGGGGCTCCTCCCCTCGATTTAGATCGGCGCCGCCGCGCGTGGAGACGATCAATAGTATCGCTGGTGAAAAAGGAGGCTTTCTGAAAAAAAAACATGCCACGTCGGCACCCTACAGGTGGGCCCCGCTGGTCAGATACCCCGTCAATACATGTTTATACGCGGTTTAGACCTTTTTGTAACGGCTAGCCCCAGACTTGGTATTGACATGTAAAAATTACCAAAGTGGTACCAATCCGCATGTAATGCCCCAATTATGATACTTCCGTGCAATTAACTCGTAGATGGATGATGCGTGTTCATTCTGCAATGAAATGGAACCGGGGAGGCGATCCCTGATCTTCTAAAGAAAGAAGTTTCGCTGTAGTCGGACGCGACATTCCGCGTCGTGCAGACACCGGCCAGTTTCCACTCACCGGCAGGTCAACGACGAGGCCAAACCAGCTCCACGATCAAGTGGAAAATCGATCCCAATCATGAGCAGCGGGTGCCGAACAGCCAATAGTTGAGGCGCTATAGCTATAGCCTAGCAGTCTCGAACAGCGAGCGGCATTGCCATGCTCCCACATGGGGCAGGTCCGTCCGACCCGCCACTCCTACTCCTACTTGAGAAGCAAGCGTTCCTCAACCACTAGCAGCTCCAACGAACGTCACGAAAGTCCGTCCAGCGTTATCTGGACCCCCTCCCCTCGTCAAGATTCGTAGCGATCACGATGAGTCCACGAGACGAGGCCCGGGAGAAAAGTGAGACAAGGCAAGGCAAAGCAAAGCAAAATTTTGCCACGCTGCGAGGCACCTTCCCCGCCCACACGGCAAGAGACGCCCGCGGCCGCTCAGACGGCGACGGCCACGCTCGCCGACGGGGCACTACTGCGACGCGACGCGTTTCCAGTCCGGGTCCGCGGCCGGTGGAAAATAAAACGATAGCGAGGCCGGTGCATAGACTGACGACGGTGCATCGAAGGCTCGGGATGGCGCCCCGAGCACGGGCGGTGTTGACGTCGCGATCGGTACTGGCGTTGGTGGTGGTAGAGTCCTGGTGCCGTAAACCTCGACGACCTCGGCGACCGACCGCTGCGTCATGTATTCAGAGGTACAGTCACCTACGACTCTCGCCACGATTTCAACAAGGGTGACGAGGCAGACGCAGTGTATATTGGACTTGTGGAACCACATATAGGTGAGTGCTAGTTCCAGCTGTCCTGTGTGGAACTGCACTCAGCTCACACTTATTTAAGCGGACAATGACTGACGAGAGACGTTTGCACAGTTATATCAAATCTCTGAGAAGCATGAAAGATCTAGAGCGTTCGTTCAAATTTCTGAAACGTAACCATCCCGGTCTCATATACTCCCTCCCTCCCTCCCGGAGGGAGTATGAAATCTGATCAAATCACTGTGTTTGCAGTTGCACAGGACAGCTGGAACTGGCACTCACCTATATGCTGGTTCACGTCAGTCAGTAGACTCCGCGTATCTCTATCGAGCTACACCCAGGCTTCATTAGCTTCCGCACGACCTTGTCCCAGTTCATGCAGCGGCATAAAGATTTGAGACCAAGCAAGGACGAAGCTGTGGACAACGGACAGGTTGTGTCGCGAGACACCCTTCACCAGTAATCACCGCAGGAGCAGGCTCCGTCCTTGAAATGGTGGAAGCGTTTCGCGTCTCGCACCACGATCTCCCTGGCGGCGATCTTTGACATGTACTTGATGGCGTCCTTGGGCTGGTGTTCAGCAGCCCAAAGGCGATGGCCAGCCTCTCGCTGTGGCGGCTGAGAAGCTGCTCCTTGACGCCTTCCTCGAGGTCATGGTACACGAACTCCGTCTTCGGGACATAGCCCATCTTCCTCATCTCGGAGTCGAGCTTCGAGACCATCTGTAGAATCTGTCTATGCTGAGGATGGCTCTGATCCTCCATGACGAATGTATGCAGTGCTCCGTGTATCTCTATCGAGCTACACCCGGGCACCTTCTTGCTGCTGTGGTCCTTCATTAGCTTGCGCACCTCCCTGACCTTGTCCCAGTTCTTGGCAGCAGCATAAAGATTTGAGACCAAGGCAAGGACGCCAACATCCCCAGGCTGCAGTTCAAGGATCTTCTCTGCTGTGCTCTCTCCAAGTTCCAGCTTCTTGTTATTCAGACAGCCTGAAAGTAGAGCGACCAAAATTGAGATGGTTGGTTTGGTGTGCATTGATGCCAGCAGGTCTTTGGCCTCTTCAACAAGACCAGAACGAGCTAAGAGATCCACTATACACACCAAGTGTTTCTCGGCAGGTTCAATTCCATACTCATTAACCATGCAATCGAACCAGAATTTCCCTTCTTCTACGAGACCGGAGTGGCTGAGAGCCGACAAAAGAGAAGCAAATGTGGCAGGATCAGGTCTTACTTCGTTTCTCTTCATTTCTTGAAACAAAGAGAGGGCATCATGGCCTCGTCCATGAGCACCGCAGCATGCAATCATCGCATTCCACGAAATCAAGTCTCTCGAGACAACCTTATCGAAAAGCATTTGGGCGCTTGCCAGGGAGCCGCATTTGGAGTACATATCAATGACTGCTGTACCTACCATGCAATCGAGCTCAAGCCTCCTCAAGATGAACGCATGTATTGACTTCCCTAGCTTCAAGAGTCCAAGACCAGAACAAGCTAATAGTGCACCAACAACTGGCCCTGAACTGGGCTGAAGACCAGAGACCTGCATCTGTCTGAACAAGACAAGTGCCTCATCTGCATTCCCATACTGTGCAAGCTGTGAGATCAGTGCGCTCCACGACACATCATTCCTGTGCGGCATCAGCTCAAACACCCGTCGCGCCTGATCAAACAGTCCATTCTTCGCATACATGTCCACAAGGCTTGTTGAGATGACAACGTCCATCCGCATAGCATGCCGCAACAAGTAGCCATGAACTGAGGCCCCTATCTGGACACCCCCTGTTGCTGCACAGGCCTGTATAACCCCGACAATGACCACCTCGTCTCCCTCCAGACCGTCCCCCCTCATCCTCATGTACATCTCAATCGCCTGAACCGGCTGCCCCGCGTTCACGAATCCGGTAACCATGGTGCTCCAGGTGACGCGGTCCCTCTTCCGCATTCTGTCGAACACCTTGACGGCATCGTCCATGGCGCCCCATTTCGCGTAGAAGTTTAGCAGCGACGAGCACACGAAGATGTCGTTCCTGTAACCTGCCTTGGACGCGCGGTCCCTGACGACCTCCCCGGTGGCGAGGTCTCCGAGGCGCGCGCACGCGGAGAGCGCGAGCGTGAAGGTGGTGCTGTCGGGGCGCGCGGCGGGCGGGAGAGCGCGGAAGACGCGCAGCGCCTCGTCCGGGGAGGCCCCGCGGGAATGCGCCGCGAGGAGGGCGTTCCACGCGGCGATGGAGGAGGGGGCCGTGGGCGCGGTGGCGAGCGTGGACTCGGCGGCGGCGAGGTCGCCGACGCGGGCGTACGCGGTGGCGAGGCAGGAGGAAAGAATGTGGTGGGACGAGGCGGAGGAGACGATGAGGAGGGCGTGGAGGCGGGTGAGTGTCCGGAGCGCCGCGCAGGACGAGAGGAGCCGGCGGAGGCGGCGCGGGTCGTCGAGCAAGGGGAAGTGGTGCATCGAAGATTAGCATCTGGAAACAGAAGTGTGGCAACCGGAGGAAAACTGTTTTTTGTGTTTTTTGTTTTTTGCGGGTGAAAACTGTTTCAGGTAAACTGAATGGAAAAACCAGTTTGCCGCCCTATTCCTCTCCTAAGAGCAATTCCAACACGCCGACCCATTCTATCCGCGTCCGTCTGTTTAGATCGAAACAGGCATAAACCGTGGCCCAATGCGCCGGTTCTCCGATTCAAATGGACGAGTGTCCGCTTTTTGTCCAAGCGCGACTGGTAGCGGTTACTATGCCAATCTGTAGGACCCGCGGCTGTAGCGGCTCGATGCGGCCTACGCCGCCTTCTTCATGGCTTGCCGATACACGCGCCCGCTGTCTCTGGCCGCAGCCATGTGCTCGGCGGTGCGGGCACCAGCACCCAACGACACCCAGGAGGGGCAGCTGCTAGCGGTGTCGGGCGCCCAACCAGGGATGGCAGGGAGTGTGTAGGGTGGCGTCGGGGCGCCGCGAAAGCGGAGCTACTCACCCTGGCCACCGCCGACGCGATGGAGGAGGAGCTCCTGCCCCGGTCCATCCGCGAGCATTAGAGAGCAATTCTGA